ATCATAATCCAGACATTCCTCATTTCTTTCTATTGATAATAACTCCTTCAACCACTTACCAATCAGAATCTTTCCCTCCCTCCCTCCCTCCTTTCCTTCCTTCCTTCCTCCCTTCCTCCCTCCTTTCCTTCCTTCCTTCCTCCCTCCCTCCCTCCCTCCCTCCCTTCCTTCCTTCCTTCCTTCCTTCCGTCTCACTCTGTCGCCCAGGCTGCAGTACAATGGTGCGACCTTGGCTCGCTGCAACCTCCGCCTCCCGAGTTCAAGCGATTCTCCTGCCTCAGCCTCTTGACTAGATGGGACTATAGGTGTGCACCATCACCCCCGGCTAATTTTTGTCTTTTTAGTAGAGGCAGGGTTCTGTCATGTTGGCCAGACTGGTTTGGAACTCCTGACCTCAAGTGATCCACCCACCTCAGCCTCACAAAGTGCTGAGATTACAGGCATGGGCCACTGCGCCTGGCCAGAAAAAATTTTTAAAACTACTTAAGACTTAAAGGGCCTTGCCTTGTGGAACCAATATAAACCTTACATGTATTGATTGATATATTATGTCTCCCTAAAATGTATAAAAGCAAGCTGCACCCGGACTGCCTTGGGTACATCAGGACTTCTTGAGGTGGTGTCATGGGTTCATCCTTAAGCTTGGCAAAATAAACTTTCTAAATTGACTGAAGCCTGTCTCAGATATTTTGGGCTCACCCATACTATAGAAACACAGTGTAAGGGAAACATTCTAACCCATTCCTATTAGAATTTGACAGATTAAGGGCTGGGCGCGGTGGCTCACGCCTGTAATCCCAGCACTGTGGGTGGCCGAGGCGGGTGGATCACGACGTCAAGAGATCGAGACCATCCTGGTCAACATGGTGAAACCCCGTCTCTACTAAAAATACAAAAAATTAGCTGGGCATGGTGGTGCGTGCCTGTAATCCCAGTTACTCAGGAGGCTGAGGCAGGAGAATTGCCTGAACCCAGGAGGCGGAGGTTGCGGTGAGCCGAGATGGCGCCATTGCACTCCAGCCTGGGTAACAAGAGCGAAACTCCGTCCCAAAAAAAAAAAAAAAAAAGAATTTGACAGATTAGACGAAATTTAAATAAGAATATGGGGAAAATGAACAATACAACCAATAAACATATACTGAACTCTTCTCTCCACAAAGTATAGTATAGTGTAAAGTATAGTATAAATGACCAATAAGTCACAAAGAAAACCTCATAGTTCGAAAGAACAGAAATGAAGCTAAGAATTAGTAGAGAAAGTGAAAACAACAACAACAAAAAGCCCACTGTCAAGGGACAATGGAACCACCACTGCAAAATTGTAACTGAAGACAGTGAAAGAGATCTGACCTAACCAACTCCACCTTGCTTCTAACCTCCAAGCTGTCTTCATTCATTCCTGGATGTAGGCTGAACTAACTTAGCAAGAAATTTAGTTTATAGTTTAAAACAAAGATAACAGGCCTTTCCCAAGGGAAAAACCCACTTCTTGCTTGGGGACTAGACAGTCTTTGTAGGAATAACAAATTAGCTAAAAGATTAGAAATTATGGTTTGGAGCCAGAGGTGGTGACTCACATCTGTTCTCCCAACGCTTTGTGAGGCCAAGGCGGGTGGATCACCTGAGGTCAGGAGTTCCAGACCAGCCTGGCCAACATGGTGAAATCCCACCTCTACTAAAAATACAAAAATTAGCCAGGCATGGTGGCATGTGCCTGTAATACCAGCTACTTGGGAGGCTGAGGCAGGAGAATTGCTCAAACCTGGGAGGTGGATGTTGCAGTAAGCCGAGATTGCACCATTGCACTCCAGCCTGGGTGACAGAGCAAGACTCTGTTGTAAAGAAAAAAAAAAAAATTATGGTCTGGGGAGTCATGCAGCTGGAGGCTACAAGATTCTGAATCGCCCTAAATTGTTCCTGGGGGTAACATCACTATTGTAAAACCTAAGTTCAGTGCTAGAGATATTTTGCAGATGCTGCACTTGATGGATCAGGGGGCACCACCCAGACTGATAAACTGGCTTTGATCTTGTGGCCCCCACCTCGGAATTGACTCAGTGCAATCAGACAACTTCCACCCTCTATGATTTCATCTCTGACCCAACCAATCAGCACTCCTGATGCACTGGCCTCCCCCAACCCACCAAATCATCCTTAAAAATTCTGATTCCCCTAATGCTCAGGAAGGCTGATTTGAGTAACAATAAAACTCCGGTCTCCTGCACAACTGATTTTGTGTGAATTACTCTTTCTCTATCACAATTCCCCTATCTTGATAAGTCAGCTCCATCTAGGCAGCAGGCAAGGTGAATCCACTGGGCAGTTACAACAACTGCCTACTATCTGTTGTTCCCCTTACGCCCAGGACAAAATATTCTGTCTCTCTGATGGACAGGCTAAAACATAAATACACATCAAACATTCTCTGCAAGAGCAACTTTCCAGAGGATTCGAGTCAGTCTGGCAACTCACACGTCTCCTATTCTCCGTATTTCATAATCTCCGCCTGTATTTGCTGCTCACTTCTTGGAGTTCCAGATCCTTCCTCTTTGTTGGGCAGAGGAGCTTCCCTTTTCCACACTGGACTTCCAGGCCTTGGAGGACTCAGATACTAACCTAACCGCTTAGCAATATATTTTTTCAACAAAGTCATCTTTCAACTGCAGCGTGATTCTGATGCTAGCCTTAGGAAGAAGCATTCTTGTCCTTACCTTGTTGCCCAAAACAGAAGACATTGAAAGAAACCAAGGAGAATTTAGATTGTTTCCTACAACTTTGTTCCCTACACGTCAATGGATTTGGAACAGTACACTTAAGCCATTTAGACTTCTGGATCTTGGTGCTTGCTGAGATTTAATCAGATCAGCTTAATGGGAAGAAAATTTTATTTAGAGATAGTGAACAGCAGAGGTTTTAGTGTTAGATTAGTTGGTTCTGATAATTCGTAATTGACCTCAAGCCATCCACCCACCTTGGTCTCTCAGCATGCTGGGATTACAGGCCTGAGCCACTGTGCCTGGCTGATTATTTGCAATTGTTTGACACTTCATCAGGCTTTTCTGGAACACTGTTCTATAGCTCTAAAAATACAGATTATCTAATAAATAGGTAACTTCTACATTAACTTGTAACATTGTGACAACCAAATGAAACATCCTATGAGGTAGTTCCTAGTGCAATCCCTCATACATAATCAGTCCTCAAAAAATCCTGGTTGTTTCCCTTCCTGTCCATTTACTCTATTGTTGTTGTTATTATTATTATTATTATTATTATTATTATTATTTTGAGACAGAGTCTTGCTCTGTTGACCAGGCTGGCATGCAGTGGTGTGATCTTGGCTCACTGCACCCTCTGCCTCCTGGGTTCAAGTGATTCTCTTGCCTCAGCCTCCAGAGTAGCTAGGACTACAGATGCACCACCATGCCTGGCTAATTTTTTTATTTTTAGTAGAGATATTTTGCCATGTTGGCCAGGATGGTCTTAAACTCCTGCCCTCAAGCGATCCATCTGCCTCAGCCTCCCCAAGTGCTGGGACTACAAAGGTAAGCCACCAAACCCGGCCACTATTGTAATTATTTTTTAAATGCCTATATTCCATACAAGGATGTGAACATCATGATAGATGGGGCTTATTTCGTTTATATATGTTATAAATACAGCACTTGCCACATACTCTAAATAAATAGGTAATTTCTATGTTTAGCTATTGTTAGTATGTTTATTTAAACCAGGATTAGTGATTTATTGAAAGATTCCTTAATGTGATTCTTCAACAATCATTGTGTTACTATTATTGTATGATAGATATTGGAGACAAAAATAATGGTCAGCAAAATAAGAGACAATCTCTGCTAAGCGTTTAGAGGGGAGATAGATATTATCTCATAAAAGAATGTAAAATTGAATTGTGATCAGTGCTGTAAGAGAGGTACATTGTGAAATAATAATGTGATAAGTGAGATAAACGTTAGAATAAAAACAGTCCAGCAAGACCCCATCTTATTAACATATTTTCCATTGGTCTGTCATATCATTATATTCTATAATAGTCTAATCCACTTTTTTGCAGTTTCTCTTAAGTTACAAAAACTCCTGGGGCAATGCTTCTTTAAAATGAACCTCTTCTTAGGCAAGAAGTTTGAGTGTAGGCAGAAGAAGAAAGCTGCTAGTGGTTTTCTTACCCATCGTCTATTAATATGTTGGTACTAATGATCTTTTCAGAATGGTTTACATACTTTTATTTTATTTTATTTATTTTTGAGACAGAATCTTGTTTTGTCACCCAGGCTGGAGTGCAGTAGTGCAATCTCGGCTCCCTGCAACCTCTGCCACCCAGGTTCAAGCAATTCTCCTGCCTTAGCCTCCCGAGTAGCTGGGATTACAGGCATGTGCCACCAAGCCCGGCTAATTTTTATATTTTTAGTAGAAACGGGATTTCACCATGTTGGCCACGTAGGTCTCAAATTCCTGGCCTCGGGTGATTCGCCTGCCTCAGCCTCCCTAAGTGCTGGGATTACAGGGGTGAGTCACCACTCCAGCATACTTTCATTTTAAAAAGGCAAATGAGTCATAGAACAATTGAGTTCAGTGATGTTTGTGAAATCATGGAGGCTCAAATCCCTAGGTAGATGGGGAACAGTCTGAACTCACTGGGCTAGTGAGCCAGGGTGATCCGCAGTCAGGGTATTGAACCTCGAACCCAAAAAACATAGGTTTCATCAAATCACAGAGTGGTGATGTCGAAGAAAAAAAAACACTTTACAATTTTATGCTGGGAATTTCTCTAAATCGTCTCACACTGAGTATCTATGACCCCTCTCTATTTAGAATTTCGTTGTAAGGTAACACAAACAAACGATTATGTTTCCAGCCCATTAAGGGGAGAATTGGGTGCTACTTAATTAATTAGGGAAATCGTTAATTGGAAACTCCCGCTGAGGAACGACTGCTAGAAAGTCACGCCAGCCCTTTACACGACCCTTCTCTTTCTGACTTACCTGTTCCTAAAGTAGTACTCATTTCCTACAGTCAACGACCTAGCTTGCAGCCGGGCTAAAGTGGCCATGGTCTCTTGGCCTTGGATTTACAACTGGTGTTACTACCGGTCTCCATGGTAACAGGGCTAAACCATAGCTCACTCCGGGGGTCCGACTTTTTGTTCACTCCCCTTTTCTCTCACGCTATTTCGACTTTAAGAGTGCTAAAAAGAGAATTAAGAAATTTCTGTGCAGCACAAGAAGTTTAATTTATTTGTCTCTGTCTCTACTGCGAGTATGAAGAGGGGATTATAGGAAGGGAAAGCAGTAGGCGAGGAGAACTAATGGTTGCTCCGGGCATCCGGTTTCCGCCTCCAGTCGGCTTCCGGAAGCTCATCTCAAAATGCTGAACTGTTCTATGCAAGTCGCCGGCGCTGTAGTAGTTGGGGTCTGTTCACGGGCCTGAGCCTCGAGGCCAGGCTCTTGGGTGTCGTTAATGTTCGGGGCCGCCGGGCGCCAACCGATCGGAGCTCCAGCAGCCGGGAACAGCTGGTGAGGCTGGCGGCCCTGGGGAGGGGGAGGTCAGGGAAGGGTATGATGGCCTGAGGCCGCTCCGGTGGACCTGGAATGGAAGCGGGAGGGAACTGTGATGGATGGTCTGAAGACATCTAGGCCTTGCTCTCACTCACTCCTGGGATGCACGCAGTTTGAGGGAGCTTTTGGGAGTATGCCAAAAAATTGTGAAAGAATACAGTAAATGTTTGCTGATTGCTTGTTTAACAATATTTTGGAAGTCAGGCTTCCTGTAATCCCAGGAGCAGTTTATCTCCTCATTGATTGTTGACAAAACTAGGGACAGGAAGAATTTATCTTAATCTGGGCCTTACTCCCCACTCCTCTTTCAAAACTCACCAATTTATACTAAGTCTCTTGGAAGATATGTTCAATAATGGAAAACACATCAGCCTCTCACCCCCTTTTTTGGAGAGAGGGGGGAACCTACCTGTTTCCACCCTCTTGAACATTCTAAGTTCAAATGAGATGTGTATGGGGGTGTTCCAGGAACTGACAACTGCCAGGATTAAGTTTGGGGCTTGACTACGTCTATGGTATCATGTCACCAGTGCCATGTTAGAATAATATATTGCTTTGACTTTGCAAGATATTTTCACAAATTAATACACTTTATCTTATGACAGCCCTGTGATACCAGAATATCAAAAGCACAGAATATCCAAGTGTCTTGTCCACAGTTGCCCTGTACGTTTTAATCCTAGAGCTAGAATCCTGGTTTTGGGATTTCTAGTTGTACACTGTAATATCTATCTTGTTTTTCTCCCAAGCCCTTTTCTTCCAAACGTAACACAAGACAACCAGTGAAACAAACAATCAATTTCCTACTGAAAACCTTAAACATAAAGTTTTGACCAACAGGTGAAAGAAATGTGGCTAAACAGTGCATGTTCATTCCTAGATTCTGCAAAAATTAGAACATGAGGAATTCTGATAGTCTGTGATCTCAAAGAATTATTTTACATCATCTATCACTGAAAAGTTATCCAAAATATTTTTAGTTAGTTCCGATCATCCTGTAGTTAAGTTTATAATGAATATATATTTGATTTTACTGTTTTTAAATTATCACATTTTCTAGTGAGAAAAGTAGGGAGCACTTTTTAAATGAACCAGTTTTTAATGGTGTAACTAGCATTGAACGAACTGCATAATTCTTAAGTGCTTAATTTTATTAGTTTTGGCAATTGTATATACTTACATAACCACCACACAAAACGAGATAATGGACTTGTCCATCATCCCATGGTTCCCTCTCAAGGATACCTTTCTTAATGTTTCACCATTCATTATCTTCGTAAATCAGGGAGATAAAATGTCATCTGTAGATTGGTCTGCCCTTCCTAGGGTGCTATTGATTTGTAGGATAGGTGACTGCATCAGAATATGGTTGATTCTCTCAACTTCTTCTGCCTTCCAAATCATGGTTAGGTACTGAGAGAAACCTCCTTCAATTCTCTTTTAAAGGCTCTCTTGTCATACAACCATTTCTTATGGCACCAGAGTATAACAAAGTGGTAGCACTTAGTATTTTTGAATGAAAGTCTTAAAGTCATTCCTGTTTTTACACAATGAACATGTTCCAAAAAACTGGAGCTTTATTTTTTAGTCTACCTGTATGACTATACAGTCATTCCAAATTCCTTAATGGAATTTTCTTTTTCATTAATTGGACAGATATTTACTATACAATACGTATGTTTAATCCCAGTAATAAATTCCAGTCCCACTGGGAATACGGCTACTAAGCAGTTAACTAGGTGCCAGGTTTTACATACATGTGTCGTCTCATGTAAATCTTTTGAGGTAGGTGTATCATTCTTTGTGTTTTAGATAAGGTGACACAGAAGCGAAGATGGTTTAAGTAACTGGCCTAAGTATATCGTATTTGCAGGATGATTCCAATATACCCCCCTCCCCCAAAATTCTTAAAACAGTTTTGTATATTGCCTGTGTGTCTGAATGAGATACAATATGTAACCTAGCAGTTATATGCCCAGATTTATTAACCAGACTGGAATTTCTAACTTATTTAGCTCCCATCTTGACTTTCTCTTTTCTTTTTTTTCTGAGAGGGAATCTCACTCTGTTGCCAGGCTAGAGTGCAGTGGTGCTGTCTAGGATCACTGCAGCCTACACCTCCTGGGTTCAAGGGATTCTCCTGCCTCAGCCTCCTGAGTAGCTGGGACTACAGGCACGTGCCACCAAGCCCCACTAATTTTTGTATTTTTAGTGGAGACAAGGTTTCACCATATTGGCCAGGATGGTCTCGATCTCTTGACCTCGTGATCCACCTGCCTTGGTCTCCCAAAGTGCTGGGTTTACTGAGCCCCCATGCCCAGCTCATCTTGACATTTTCAACTTCTCCAATTTGGAGGTTTCTCTTTCAAGTTTTAGGCACCAAATGGGTAAATGTAGATAATTTCTTTACTCAACTATGGTATTCTATTTTTTTTTAACGTTGTTATGTGGCTTTGCTTTTTAAAAAAAAAGCTGTTAAAATAAACTATGTTGACTCTGGACTTTTGTTTCTGCATTTTCATTCCTATTTGGTATTTTGATTTTATTGAAATCTGAAAAACTGCATAGTGAAAGGTGTGCATTTTTTTTTTTTTAAATGTGTTTTGGAGTTTGTTTTGGACTTAGTTGCATTCTGGCAGGTTTGAGTCAGGTTTTTGTTTCAACAATTAAGAGTCAAAGGAATAACCAGTATGATTTTGTTCAAGTAATTTGTTAATTTTGGTATAGCTTCTTAGCATCCATATTTATGTTTGATGTCAAGCTGGAAACCTTTACATTGTGTATGATAACATTTCCTTAACTTCACATTTACTTAGCTAAAAACCTAGAGTGTCTGGCTTGTTAAAGTAGCAGAGAATTTGGAATATGGATTGTTTAAAAGTTTTAGTCATAATGCTTTTCTTTTGTTATTTGCTCAGTCATGTTTAGTCATTCTTTGGTTTGCTCATCAGGCAGATTATTTTTTAAAATCTGTTATGTGTCAAGCAGTATGTGGCTTATAATTAATATTGTCTTCATTCTCATTCCTGTTGTACAAATTGAGGTTATATGCTTACTAAATTTTCATTAAATAGTTACAATGTATTAATGTAAACCATAAGACTCATTTTCTTTCTACTGTGTGCCTAATACATTTGAATATAAATATATATGTATTGGCAAGAGCTAGAATGAAATATTTATTGAATTCTAAAGTTTTTGTTTTGTTTGCTTTAAACTGACTTTATTTCATGTAGGCAGTTTTTTATTCAGTAGTTTACATTTTGAAAGTAATTAGAGTGTAAGGAAAAGTTTAAATGACTCATGAAGTCATTAAGTGAAGTAACAAAAATTAGAAGCATAGTCTTCAGATTTAAATAATAAATGAGCTTGCCTTATTAAATCACTAATTTGAAAACAAGGGTTAGACTTTCTTTTTCTTAAAGCCAGTCATGGTTTGATTTTGAGCAAACCATGGTAAAGAGGAAAGAAAGTTTCCTCAAAGTTCCTGTGGTGACAAAGGTGACATGTAGGCAGCATCTGCAATTGAATACAAGTCAGTGGAGCTTTGCTTCCTTTCCACTTTTAACTGGGAAGGATTATTTAATCTTTTTAAATTTACATATGTATATTTTTAAGGTGGAAATAGGTCAGATTCACAGCATTATTATTATTATTATTATTATTATTATTATTTTAAGACGGAGTCTCCCTCTGTCGCCCAGTCTGGAGTGCAGTGGCATGATCTCTGCTCACTGCAACCTCTGCCTCTTACAAGCGATTCTCTTGCCTCAGCCTCCCGAGTAGCTGGGATTACAGGCTCACACCACCACGCCCGGCTAATTTTTGTTGAGATGGGATTTCACCATGTTGGTCAAGCTGATCTCAAACTTCTGACCTCATGATCTGTCCGCCTCGGCCTCCCAACGTTCTGGGATTACAGGCATGAGCCACCGCGATCAGCTAGCATTAATTTTTTTATTTTTTAAATTTGGGATTTAAAATTTTTCTTTAGCTCATAGAGTCTTCAAGGAGTCCATGAACTTACTGAAATTATATGCAGCAATTTATAAATGTCTGCTATCCTTCCTTTTCCCACCATTCAGAATGCTTCATGACCTCAGAAAGATTGCAGGCCTTTAACTGTAATACCCTTAAGATTCCCAGTATGGTTATACCTTAAAAGCAGAATAATTTGGGATCTTTTGGTGACCAGTTTCTCTTATTTGCGAGTAGTGGTTGTTGAAAGATGAAATAACTTCTCTTGAACATTAAGTACCCACTCTCATCCTCAGAAAAATATTTTTAAGGTAGGAATTATGCCCATTTTTATGATGAATAAACACAATCAGAAGATAGGTAATTTGTCCAAAGTCCTATAGCTAATGAATATAACTGGAATTAACTTCCAAGTTCATGGCTTCGATTCTAAGCTCATATTCTCTAGTTTCCTCCTAGCCTTTTTTTTCCCTTAAGCATACTGTTTTTTATTTATTGCCTACTATTAATGTAAACTTGTAATTAATTATTTACATGTTTCAGAATAAGTAATTCTCCCCTACCCCACCCTACCTTTTTTAAAAAGAGAGAAAACAT